CCCCCCCCCCCCCCCCCCCCCCACCCACACACACCCCAAGAGTGAAAATTGTACCCTTTAGTATTATGCTATCTATACTATAATATAGCTCATTCTTTTGTCTATTTTTTTTCTGAAGTCACAAATGAGGTTGAAGAGCAAGGAGACAATGAAAAAGGCACACCTCAAGGCAAGAACGAAGATCACGATGGAAACAGAGACGCCAGAGAAGGAGCGGCACCGAAATCTCGGCTCAGCATCTGCAATTGTGATCAATGGAGAGAGGCTCGTAATCGCAAACATGGGCGACTATAAAGCTGTTATTTGCAACGACGGCGTGGCCTTCCCGGTTGGGACACGCCGACACCAGAACTGCTGGTCCTGTAAATTGTTTCCAGGCATAACGAAATCACCAATTTAACCTCTCTGCCTGTCTCTGGTTGGTAGCCATGATCTTTCAACATTTGAACTGATCTGTTGCTTTATTTTTCAGGAGCAGTAAGGAATCCTAGAATGCATACAGCTGCACCTGATGCTACAAGCAATGCTGATAGGTTTCTTGAGGATTCTAGAAGCTCGGAACTTGCTGTTATATCAGAAAGAATAGACAGCAACACAGAGCTTGTGATCCTAGCTAGTAGTGGTGTGTGGGAGGTAAATTTCTTGATAATGAACTCCCTCAAGAAATTGTACATATTCCTAGATTGGGTGATTTGTCAAAAGTTCCCATCACAGAAAGATATGGTGTGAATGCTTTTTGTGTTGTTTAAAGGTTATGAAGGAGCAAGAGGCAGTGAACCTTATAAGACACATAGGGGACCCAAAAGAAGCAGCTGAATGCTTAGCAAAGGAGGCTTCAACCAGGATGAGCAGAAGCAAGATTGCGTGTTTGATTATTCGGTTTGACTGAAGCTGCATGCAAAGTATCATTCGTTAAAAAAAGAAATGCTCAGAAAGAAGAAGATGACTGCAAATGGAGTTTCCAGGGGATTCATATATTGGCCAGAACAACAGAACTCGAAGCATATGTTGCAATCAATTTGTGAAGACTCAAATGCATCCACACCCTATCCCCATCGCCCAAAAAAAACATTTCATCATGCACAAGAAAAGTTTCAAAACTCCAATCTATTCACAAGTGCTTGCATAAAAGCTGAGAAAGCATTGCATTTTAACCTGCAGTGGAGTTTATTAAGCTCAACAACATACAATAACAAAATGACTTACTTGAGTGAACCATTGTTTTATGATGTCAGTTTTTTTTTAAATATCAGCATCTTTTCCTTGTCCTACTCCAGAAAGAAGACAACAAAGAAAAATTGTGAGCTGTAGTGCAACGGTTTAAGTATCAGTTATTTCAATTGAGTTCAAAGTAATTACATGATAAGCAGGTGCAGCACTTGTGCTCACTCTTCTGAACATCATTATCACTGGCTGAGGTTTCATCTTGTGACATCAAACTCTTCAAAGTATAAACTGAAAGAACACGTTTACAGATGAGCTTAAATGACATTGTAAGCAAGTGGGTGAAGTGGCCTCATCTGCCTAACATAGTAGCACGGTAAACCATGCATTTTGAATCCCAATTAGGTTACCAACTTTGCAGATATAAATACATATTTGAACATCAAAAAGTTTTCAGAATGGAAACTGAGTACTTGTTCCATCGCATCTGGTTTGCATTCATTATTTTTTGCTTTTGTTGAAAAAGTAGAGTTCACTTGGAAAAGTATCCTTTAAAACCACCATGCTTCTTAATTCTTTTAGCCCTCAATTGTACATCTCCGTGCTAGAGGGAGATATGGTCTTTTGATGGACAAAAAAATAAGATGATCAAATTTTATATTCTGTTCTGAAAAAAACTGCAATGAAACCCAATTAAGGGAATCTTATGATACACACTCTTATGTGAGTGGGGTTCATGTCAATGTAATAACTCGTAATAAAATCTCAAATATGAGATTAATTCTCAATGTCATACAGTTAGTGATTCTTGTGAAGCATATTAGGTTTTTATGGTATCAGGAAGACAAGATACATGATCTCTCTTGTAGAGGAAACAGACTAGCTCGACCTGGCAATACCAACTAAAAGCTGAGCACACTTCAATAAAACTATTACTTAAAAGAGTAAATTTGGAATCTTCTTTTGAGAACTATAGATTACCTAAGAGGTTTGCTATTTGGTTAAGCATATCGCACGCCCTGACACTCAAGAATGCTAAAAAACACAGAGAATGTGTTTCACTAGTTTCGGATAGACAGAATATTTTGGTCAACTTCACATTAGTGACATTACCTTCACTTAAAGAAGTAGTACATGCTGCATGATCATCCTGCTTTAGCCCATTAAAACTTTTGTGGTCTGGTTCAAGAGTTTTATCACATTCACTGCCAGATTCATTCTTCTTACCAAACTTCCAGAGCCGCCGGATGCCTCTTAGTGACTCCTTAACTTGAACCTTTGCAGAAGAATCTCGAAGTTCATACTCTCCAACCGCTGTAACAACTTCAGCGTGTGCTTTAACTGGTTCTGCCGATCCCAAGTCATTGATTGCTAGCGGTGCTTTGTGATACTCTAAGTTTACAGTACAAGGTTCTTCTAAAGAGGTGATATGAGCCCGAGAAGCTTCATAAGGTTTTCCACCAGGGTCAGTATTTGCAAATTTGGATGTCTCATATGCATAACTTGTTCCAACCTAATAACAGAATAAGAAAAACCTTAGAAGTTGGACGAAAAGAACCTTGATAATGATACATGCTGAGAACTAATTATCTTTGTCAATGCTCTTCCATGCAGTGAACATGTATTTGGTGCATGTATTCTTCACAAAACAAATGAGGGAAAACATGACTTAGTACTGTTATTGGGGCTATTCTAGATTCATTGGGAATTTTTCCTCCCATCTTTCTTGTCCCAAGTACATGAATTCTTGAAAACAAACAAATGAGTATAACCCAAACCTTGAACTGGTATTTGGGCTAATGTCACCAGAATGTTTCCCATCTATGTACCAAACCACCCCCCCCCCCCCCAAGATAACATGACTGTTTCTTATCAAGTCATCATACATGAATAGTAAGCATCAGACAAGTGAGCTTCTTTTAACTTATCATATACGCACTACATTTGAAAAAGTCAAGATCTCGCCCTAGTGGCTAGCACTAAGTTATTCCTTATAATAATAATATGATTTCAAGGGTTATGTGTGATAATTATTATGAGGAATTTGAATTACACCAGATTACCAGATAAAAAAAACTAGTTCCAGTTATAGACCCCATCAGATGAAAAATTGATGGGTTATATTTATGCAGTTTAGATGTGTAGTACTCTACTCACAAGTGTGCAAATGCAATGTAGCACTAAGCCAGGATTAGGATGCATCTCTGCTATAAAGAGAGTACTTATTGACAGTATTTTGTTAGCACCAATTTTCCAACTTCGGTTTTAAAACTTGACTAGATGACAAACTGAATGAAAGGCTATTAAAATAGAGAAATCCATGCCCTTGACAGAAATGAATTTTAATGCTTGATCTTGCTTAAATACACAAAAACTAATTATAGATAATGTTAATGAATAGAAACCCTCTATTTATACTATTCCAAGAGTCCATGCGGAGCAAGCTGTTGAAAATGAGGACTAACACTAAACTCTTCTTCTATTAATAGCACATAAATACTTACACATTTCTTAGGCAAGGTACACACAAAATAGGAGAACAATACCTTAAAATAGGAGGTTACTATCAGTTGTTTGCAACAACTCAACAACAATAATTACACTTTCTTGAAGTTATAATCTGTAGTCCCAAGTTCTATCGTAGATAAGTATGGAGCAATACTTTTGTAAACATGAAATATACCAAGGACTTAAACTAAAATCAGTCCAATGACAAATGAATATACTCCCTTTGTCCCTATTTAATGTTCTCATTTGCTTTTTGCATGGAATTTATGAAAGGCGAAACTATGTATTTGTAACCTGTGCAGAGGAAAGAGAATAATATGAACCAAACAACTCTTTCTATAAAAACAATGAGAGCATTATTTTAAGAGAACCCAAAAAGAAAAGTGGGAACATCATATAGGGATGGAAGAGTAATATACAAGGACTCGACACGGGCACAAATAAGAAAAAAAAATAAAGACCAAGATATTTTAGTATGAAATTGGGGAAAACTTTTTTTGATATCAAATAGTTATAACAATAATTTTCTAACGTTTGTGAAAGAAGAAAACAAAATTTAAAATGCACTTGAATGACCAACGTTTCCACCTTCCAAGTATTTCATTTGAATCAAGTATGCTTCAAAATATTTAGTGCCACGAGCATTAACTAGTTCAAGGAAATTCTAGTAGACTTACCGGCAATGCCTCAGGTGAATTAGGTTGCCCCTTAGACGAGCCAAGGATAGGATTCCTAACAAATCCCACAAAGGGTGAAGGAGGTGCATCTATGGAAGCATGTTCACATGCTAGTGAGCTTTTGTCCCGTATGCCATGACTGTCATACTGCTGGTCACATACTCCAATATTATCTTCAGATGGGGCAACAGGTAAGGATGAACTTTCATACTCAAGCATTACAACATTCTTCTCCACAATATTTTCATCTCCGTCACAGTCACGTGAAAAATTTTCATCATCGGTGAATGATTTCACATCCTCAGAATTTAAGGGAGGTCTGGAATCATTCACATTTTCTGAAAGCCCTTTCAGAACTCTCAATTCAGGAAGAGTTGCGCCTTTCCTTGTATCAAGGTCCATGATTACTGATATTTTGCTGTTTTCAGGTTGTCCAGATTTATTTGGTTTCATCACTGTTTCAGAACTATGAATCTTCGCCTTTGACACTGTCCCAGGACTATGTCCCTTGACTGATGCAACAGGCCAGTTCACAATTTTAGGCTCAGATAACCTTCTAAGCCTTGCCATGGATGCTTTTGAATTAGGTGTCGCACTAATACTGCTTTCTTTGGTGGGATCAGCCCATGATGGTGCTGATTTTTTTAACAGATTATTTCTCAATAGCCCTTCACTCAATTTATGCGACTTTGAATCCTCGGGTGAATTAGTTGATAGAAGTGGAGTTCTTAATTTGGATCTCTGTAACGGTGATGATGATCCAGGTTCTGAATCACTGAACTTTGACCATCTGACAGGGGTGGGGGATACTTTTGTTGGAACCCTTCTTTTTTGTGACTGGGGTGCCACTAAATGACTAGAATTCAAGGTTCCTCTTGCTGCAATTCTATTTTGCCTTACCGATTTTAAAGCTTCTACACGTTTAATATCTGCCTCTTCCTGTAAAAAAATTGGTAGAGCTTTGAGCCTTGGGGAAGGTGTCATCAAAGAAGAATGGATAATTAAGAAGAACCATGCCAAAATAATGACTGATTCTAGATGTTGATTCATGACTACAAAGTTCCTTCTAAACCTAGCCATGCCAGAATCTCACTTATCTTCATAATGTTCACTACTGATGAACTATCAACACCTAAATCCCAACTGGTTAGGCTAGGTGGCAATATGGAATTAAATTTATAGTGCCGATAATCTTATTAATCTAATTAACACTACAAAAGTACAAATCCTTGCAAAAAGCATAGTGTGTTTAATGACAAGGAATAATGAGATTTAAATTCTAAGACCGCCACCATTACACGTCATTTTACATATGAGTGAATTTTATAAATGGTCCTTTATAACAAGGGGTTTCCCAACATAGTCTGCTATTCCAAAATAAGTCTCTTTGGAGGAAAAGTTCCCAAATAGAGAGAGGACCACGGAGAGAATATTTTTTTCCACATGTAGTACAGAAAAGATTTATTATGGAATAGTTCTCAAAAATAGAGGACCATGAA